AAGTTTCAATTTTAAAGTTTAATATCAAAAATAGCAACTTAGATTAATTGCAACTTCATATGAAATATTTTTTATATATTATTTAATAAAAAACATAAAAAATGCTTTAAAACATGCTTTAAAACATGTTTTAAAACATGAAAAAATAAAAAACATGTTTTTTGCTATCCCTAATACCGCCACTATATAGCTATAAATCACTCAAAGACCATTTTCTCATACTTGCTTTATCTGGAGAATCTGTGTCAAATATTAGCCTATGACCTATACCACTTTGATAATCTTTATTCATTGTATCATTTAATTCATTTAATATATTCAATAATTCATTTAATGCTTCGTAAGTTGTAGCATTAATAGGTTCAGTGTCGTTAAATAATTCCATAACTAGAATATACTATAAGATTAATTAATACCATACAGTTATAAACCACTCAAAGGCTATTTTCTTGTACTGACTTTTATTTTTTCACACATTCACGTCACTTGCATTAACCATTTAATAAGACTTAAATTGATAAGTATTTTTGTCTTCACTAGGTCATGACTATTTCGTTTTCACTTTTAGTACAATAAGTAACTAACATTAACCATTTAATGATTTAACAATAAGTATTTCTGTCTTCACTTTTAGTATACATGTGCTACAGGTTTTAATTATTTAATAAGACTAATCGATAAATAATTTTCACTTTAATCCATGTTAGCAGTTTAACGAAACTAAATCGATTTGCAAAAAGAAGTTCAATCACAATTATTTGAACCCTTATTTATTTGTATAAATTAAAGCTCCGAACATTTACATCTGTCAAAATAAACTCACTGGTAATTTCCCCCCCTTTGTCAAAATAAACTCGCGGTAAATAAAGCACCGTAATAGGGGGGATGCATAAATGATTTACATGATTACCAGTAATTTCCCCTGGTTAACCATAGTTATTCTCTAAAAAAAAATGATAATTTTTAAAAAAAACCAAAAAAAACCCCGATAGTCTAAAGAAACAAAAAAAAAATAATGCGTAAAAATAAATAAAATTGATAAGACTATATTAAGATTCTCATAACATAAAATAAAATACAAAAAATTACTTGCTCGCCCGGACTTTTGTTTAAAAAAGTATAAAATTTTTAAATTATAAAATTAAAATTTTATTTTTATAAAGCTATGACCTGGAAATACATTAGAAATTTTATAACAATAACGTATAATAGTGGGTATATTTAAAAATAAGTCATTTCTTCATATTTATATTAAATTAGTCTGTAAGTATAGTCTAAAATATGACAAAAACTTTTTTGCTGCTTCTTAAGTTATTTTTATATTAGTAAGCTTATAAATTCTTTCCAATTCTCATTAAGTCACTTATTTATGTTAATTTAACCAGGAAGTATAAAATAATTTGTTAATCAAAGTATTCGAAAGCGATGTGTGGTTTTATTAGCTTATCGCCCATGCTAATTTGGTTGATAAACAATCTTTTATTCAATTCGATTTAGCCAATATTATTTATTAATTGAAATATGGTGCTAGAAGCTTATAACTAACAATAACGTAAAATGCTTCAATTTTTATATAGCTGCAATTGACTAATAATATTAATGTATTTCGGCATTTTTGCACATACTGCGCCAAAAACATAAAACAGTAAAACTTTTTATAAACAAGTTTTTTTAAAAAAAAACAACTGATAACTTTATACATAGAACTAAGTACTACAAAGTTATCAGTTTATTTTTTTTAAGGAATTTTTCTATGAAAGTCATACTGATTGGAACAGACATAACTTTCTACAGAAAAGCTTTTTAAAAAAACTAACCAATAATTTTGCAGAGCTTACCTCTGTGTATAAAGTTATCAGTTAGTTTGGTGCAGGATTGCAAGAATGTCGAAATACATTAATTTTATTACCGTATAGTTCCAAAAATAAGCACCCCTTTTTTGTTATAAGGTGCTTATTTTCGGATATAAAATGAACAAGAAAACCAGTTTTTAACCAGGTTCTAATCTGATAACTATTAAAAGGGGTGCTTATTTTTGGATATAAAAAAATTGTGGGGGTGCTTATTTTCAGGGGTGCTTATTTTTGGAACTATACGGTAGTTAATTGCAGTCATACAAAAATTGAAACATTTCATGTGATTGCAATATAAGCTTTTGGCACTATATTCAAAATAATCTATGTATCAGTATTTATTATTAATTTTTTATACATGCTGTTTTATAATTCTTATAACTTGATTTTTTTGATTATAAATTTTGGTCTTATTTGAACTCAAAGTTGTATTGTGCACTTGCAAAGAACATTTGCTAAATGCTTTTTTATCAATCTGGTCTTAAATTTAAAATAAAAAAAGAATAAAATCTATATGTAAACTATAATATGTAAATTGCTAGAAATATTCAATGAACTTATTCAAATATTAATTCAAATTTTCAACTAATTTCTGGATATTAAAAAAGTTAGATTAATAAATATTCAGATAATTAGTTAGTTTTAACCAGATCAAATTATATCTCAAAGAAGTCAGAAAGTGTTTCTATTAATGTTTTTTTCTTCTCTTGCTCTAGCAAGATATACATGCTAAGGCCTTTTTTTACCTTCTGATTCAAATTTATTTCAGCATGATGTTCACAATTAAAATATTAGTATTAAGTAAGCTTAATTCTGATTAGTCAACTTAAATATTGCACCTTATAAAATTTATATTCCTCTTCTTGAATTCAATAACCTGGCTGGGTTATGAGAACCAAAAAATTAACTTTGACTGGTCTAATATATATATATTTAAAAAATGTTAACTTAATAAAAAAAGAAAAATAATAGTATTTGATAAAAAAAACAAACAAATAAATGATAATATAATAAATAAATAAATAAAAATATATAATAATTTAATAAAAAAAGTAATAATTTTTTAAAAAAAAGCAATAATTTAATATAAAAGAAATTTTAATTTAATAAAAAAAAATAAAAACAATAATTTAATATATATATATAAGAAAAACAATAATTTAATTTTAAAAAAGAAATGATAATATAATAAAAAAAAGGAAGCAATAATTTAATATAAAAAAAGAAATGAAAATTTAATTAATATAAAAAAATATAAAATAAAATAAATGATAAAAATTAATAATATATATATATATAATATAAAATAAACAATATTTTAATAATAATAAAAAAAAAAACAACATAATTTAATAAAAAAAAGATAATTTAATATATATATATATAAAGAATTAATAGTTTAATTTAAAAAAAAAAAGAATTAATAGTTCAATTTTAAAAAAAAGAAATAATGATTTAATAAAAAAAATTAATAAAAAAAATAAAAAGCAATAATTTAATATATATAAAAAACAAAATCACTACTTATCGCCAGTAGTGATTATCACTAGTTCTAAGATTTGTTAGGGTTAGAGTTAGAAATTAGAGAATTATTGTTTTTTTTATAATAAATTATAGAGCTACTATAAGGGCCTGATAAAGCCTACTCTCAGTTTTTATAAGGTTTTTTGGGGTTCTGAACATTTTTACTTAGAAGACCCGATCCTATTTACTTAGTATATTTTGAAATATAGCAACACTGATGATGATCACCAGTAGCAATAAATAGAAAACTCTATAAAAAAAAGAAACAATAATTTAATAATAAAAAAATTAAAATATAAAAAATAAATGATAATTTAATAAAAAAAAAAAGAAATGATATTTTAATTTAATAACAAAAAAAACTAATATTCTAATAAAAAAATAAAACATAAAAAATAAATATTAATTTATTAAAAAAAGAAATAATACTTAACTAATATTTTTTATTAGAGTTGTTTTAGACATAAATAAGAATATAAACCATCCTATGAATATTGGCATAGACAGTCTATAGATATAGAAAGACAATAAAATATCTAATATCTATACTTATAGACTGTCTAATATCCATGCTTATAGACTGTCTATTCATAAATATGAACTGCCTATATTTACATGTTTATGAGCATATATTTATGTTTATGAACTGGTATTTAGAAGAATACTGTATATTATAAAAGTTTGTTTTTAATCTGATTCAAATATTTTTTAAAAATTAAATTTGAATTTGGTTTAAAAATTAAACTAGATTCAAACCTGTTACAAAGTTTGATTTAAGCCAATTTAATAAAAACTCTAATGTAAAATTTAATTATATAACTATATAATATATATTGTATAATATAAAATCATTAAACAATTTATAAATTAGAAAAAATTAAATTTTAGGACCTAGGCAATATTTGGATTCTAAACTAATATAATAAAGAATTAAAAAAAATTAGAAATCTCAGACCTAGGGCAATAACTAGGTTTTAAAAGCTAATTTAAATATTTAAACCTAAGAGTTAGAAAAAAATTAGAAGCTAGAACCCAAGCAACACTGGGTCCTATGTGCTAGTATTTAGCTAGAGATAGCTTTTATTTAATAAAACAAGTAATAAACTAATAATTTGAATTGAGATTAAATTTATAATAATAACAGGTAATAATACAGTACTGCAGTATATTAATGCAACTTATGTAGCGCATTACAGTGCATTTGTAAACTACTCCAAAATTCAAAAAAAATTTGACCCCAGATAGTAAGTCAATTAAATTGACATCATATATATATATGAGTTGTACATAAATCAAATATATACGAATATTCTGATTTGTAATAAAATAAGAATATATAGTATATCCAAATAAATTTAAATTATCGTTATATAAAAAATAAAATGAAAGAAATTGGTGAAGAAAATTTAAATTACCCAATGGATCATACTATTAAATGGAAGTCACCACGAAGAAGTTTTCAATACTATATTGTCAAAGAAGGTGTTTTTATCTACCTAAATCTTATCTTGCTTATACTAGAGCACCAAATCAATATCTAGTTCTTAATAATTATGTGGTGAAAACAATCTATGAGAAAAAAGAAATGACAATTACTTGTTATATTAATTATTATAATGGAAAACCTCGGTATAAAATCCAATTTGGATTAAATAAAAATGAATATGTATATTCAGATCATTCACCAACAGATACAGTAAATGCATACCTAAAAGCTTATTATGAAAAGATCGTATTTGAAGAAAGGGCTAAAAATCTGAATATAATATAACTTATATAATACTATGTGTGTATTAAATATATAATTTACTAAAATAAAATTCTATTTATATTAATTTAACTAGTTTCAACAAGCAAAAACTAAAATAAATGGTGTTTACTTATTTGGTCTACAGATAACACAAATCAAATTAGTGCAGGAAAATAAAAAAAGACAAAGGAACCTTAAACCATTTTCTGAAATTACAAATCAGATACAATTCAGACGAGGTAGAAACTTTGGCGCAGA